AGTGGATTAAATAACAAATATTGTCCCTTCGTTTAACTGATTTTTTAGGTCCTTTTGGAATATTTTTGTAATTTTGGTCTTTATTTCATGGTTGTATGGTGCATAAATTCTAGGACTAATACCGTTAATAGATCAAGAACATCGTTGTTGATGGTTCTTTGATATATTCTTGGAAGTTTTGCTTGTGATGAAGATTATTGTGAAGGATCCTTACATTCAAATATATATTGAATTACAATCTTTTGTTAATTCGGGGTGTTATATGTTATTGGTTTTTTACTCTGGATTTCAACCCTTTCCCCCAACAAAAAGATGGAGTCTTGGTTTTGAGTTGAACAATGATGATGAAATTGGAGAAGATAAGGACAAATTGGTTATTCTATATAAATGGTTCAAAAATCACATGTGTGGGTATTTATTTGTGGGTTAATTTTAGAATTGGGTAACTAATTATTTCAAATGTTCAAAAATCACATGTGTTATAAATAAAAAGTAATTAGAAGGTAACAATCTATTTAAGTGTTCAAAAAATACCATGGTGAATGATAACAACTATTTAAATTGTTCAAAAAATATCATGGTGAACTATAACAAGTTTAGTAGGTCAAAATTTGTGTTAATGCTAGAATATGATAACAAGCTATTTAAAATGTTTTAAAATGACGTTTAAACTAAAAATGATGTTAAAAGTTAAGAAAATATTTAAAATATTCAAAAATTTCATGGTAACCTCCTATAGATAATTTATTTTAGGTTATTTTGTTTCTTTTAATCCACCGCTAAAAGGAACAAAGAATCAAATATTGCTATGGTTATAAAACTATATCATTAAAAATGTTCTGAAAGATCATATATTGGTATATTCAGGAAGGATATTCATGAACATAATTTTATGAAATATAAGATATTTTTACCCATTTGAGATTAGAAATTTAGGAGTGTACTTAGAGGATTTGTTTCGTTTATTCATTTTGAAGATGATGAAATGGAAAATGAAGTTGTATTTATAATCATCGATCATTTCATTGTACTTTTGTTACTGCATATATTTGTTTTGATCGCAGGAAATTTAAAAGAGAAGAAATGTTGGATAATTCTTTGGTTGACTAGGTTATTACTAAATGTTACCGGAATTAGATAATGACATGATGCTAACATGTCATTTCTTTTGTATCCCTATTATAATTATAATAAAAGTAATAATAATAATACAAAATTTTGATTAACACATGACATATTTTTATGCATAAGACAGGAGGGTGTGGGTGAGAAACTCCCCTCGTTTTTTGTGGGCTACAACATCATTTCTCTCACTTTCCTTTCCTTCACCTAAACCCAATGAATGGGTGAGAAACTTCCTTCACTTTTTTTTAATATATATATATATATATATATATATATATATATATATATATATATTATACTCATTTTATAGGAAATTAAAAAACCATGAACTTTGATATATTTTTTATAATTTTTTAGTAAGTATATAATTTAATAAATAATAAAAAAGATAAAAAAAACCGGCCAATAGACAATGGTGAGAGAATGCGGCAACCAGCTCCCCCATCTCCTTTACTCACCACCTTTCCCTCAGTCAAGGTGCGGTGTTCATGTGAGAGGGAAAACCTCCCGCACCCCTCTGGCCTAATGATACCACATGTCATTTTATATTATTTATTTGTTTTTTAATTTCATTTGATATAAATCTCAAATTTTAAGGAGCTTAAAATTGAATGCAATATTTTTTTAATGTATTCTTTATAAAACATCTTATTTTTATTATTTTTATAATACGTTTTAAATTCACTTGATATAAACCCTTAAGTTTACTATTGAATAACAATTTATTATCCATATTCTTCGTACAAGGATTTAGACATATTCAAAGTAATATTCAAAATCAAAATATATAATATATAAATCTATATATACAAAGAATTTGTAATCTAATTATTATTATAAATTTATAATTAAATACATGTCCCAATCACTGTCCAGTTTTCACCTATCCCACCACCACCCTTTCCCCTTTGGGTCTTTGACACCTTATCTTTTATGTGAAATTCCGAATAAGGCTGTGGGGATGGTCAACACCAAACCACCAAAAAAGTGGTGTCACATCTGCGCCACGTCAGCTTCACTACCAACCCACTACACATAGGAAATGGTCACCGCTCCACAATTATTCTTTTTTTTTATGATTAAATTAAATAAGAACATAATTTAAAACATATTATATATATATATATATATATATATATATATATATATATATATATATATATATATATATATTCAGGTTCATTTGAGATCATGCTAATTTTGTGAGACTGTGAGACCAAATCTAAAAATAATTTTAAAATGCAAAATAAAAGGAAAAATCCAAAAATTCTTTTTTTAATTATTATTTTCGGAACTTTATTTACCTAAAAAAATTAAAAATAAATAAAAAAAATTACCTTTTTTTTAAAATACGTGAAATATTCTAATAGAATATTACATTGTACATATTTTAATGTGATTTTTGGAATGTTAGAATATTCTACTAGATTTGTCAGATATGTAGAATATTCTAATATTCTACTAGAATATGTAAAAAAATATATTTTTTTTTATTTTATTATTTTTTTTTTTTGGTATTTTTTTTTTTTGGAAAATATATATTTCGAAAATAATATTGGAAAAAGAAAATTCGAAAATTTTCAATTATTTTGCATTTTAAAAATGTTTTTGTTTTATCTAGTAAATGAGTGGCTAGGATTGCGTCTCACGGTCTCACAAAATTAGATCGTCTCACATGAACCTAACCCTATATATATATATATATATATATATATATATATATATATATATATATATATATAGAGAGAGAGAGAGAGAGAGAGAGCTGAAAGCTTAATTTAATTTAAAAAATAAATATAAGGGTATACTGACAAACAAATATATATTTTCAAGGACCATATATATGTGCAACTACAATTAAAAAGAAAATAGGTTAAAGTCACTTACTTATTTGTGATTGGCTGTCTTGGTCTTTGCACTCACGCTACACCCGAGCGGCCAACCCTTGGGTTAGTGTTCACTAGTATTTTGGATGTCATGTCGGCTTCCACGCATGGGCTTCTATCCCATTCCGGATAGCTTAAGTAACAAAGCAAAAATAAGATTGGTGTTTATGAGGATGTCAACAATGAATAGATAGTCTACCACATTGTTTTTGCCAATATTGTCATATGAAGGAAGTGGATGTGGATTGTAAAAGCATTAACAATATGAATATGAGTTTATCGGGTCAAATTGGATTTACCAAAGTAAAAAAAAAAAAAAAAAAAAAAATATGACATTTTCACCGCTTTATTAAGTTTTTTTTTGCTTGTAAATTTACAAATTGACATTTTCACCGCTTTATTAAACTTATTTTCATAGTTTTTTTTTTTTTTTTTTTTTTTGAGTAACACTTACACCCATAAACATATTTTATGAAAAACTAAACTTATTTGTTATAGTTTCTTTTTCATATTTGAGTAACACTAAGAAGTATAAATAAATTTTATGAAAAGGTATAATGAATATACTCGAGTTCTTTCGGTTGACATAAGTATTTTCTTATTGTAGAGGCTCTAATATAATACATCACAACTAGATGAATACCGAAAATGATAAATTTAAAAGTGGTGAAAAAATTTAAGCTATTTTTTCAAGAGTTTATGCCGTAATGTTGGCCTCTAACTACTTTGAAAACGGTTTGGATATTCGTCAAAAATTCATTATTTCACTCTTACAACAACCTTATCAAAGGATCTTATTGGAAGACTGTTTGGATCTTCACCGAAAATCCATTGTCAGACACTATAACTCTTTACACACCTTCTATACCATCATCAAAATAGTGTTTGTATATTAACTTGTTTTGTACCCTAATGATACATGAAAAACTTCATTAATCGTTCACAAGACCCATTTGGGATGAATTTGAAAACACAATACTTCATTCTTTCATCTCATAAGACAATCCCAAGAAAATAAAAATTTTCATCCCATACTCTATTCCCCTTAGATGTGTGTGTGGAGAAAGATCTCAAGTAGGTACACAATGAAATTGATATATTAGTTTTTAAAATGTTATCTTAGTTAAGAATCAAATTAAGATCTTAGATTATTATAAACAAGGAGAACAAATTTATCAATTTCTCAGATTATGAAATCATATGCGAGTTTTGACCCTAAACTTTATTAATTTTTAAAAGAAGATAATTGTGCTCGAGAATTTTGAGTTTACAACAGCCATTCCCACTGTTTTATCTACGTATCTTTTCTTTCTTTTTTTTTTAGCATTGATGACATCTGACGTCATTTGTTCTGCAAATCCTTGGGTAGTTAAAAGGTAAAAAAAATCCTCACAAAATAAGTTCTGTAATTTGCTCTTTTATACAATTATATAGTATACATATCATAAAAAATCAAATTTATTTTCATCCAAACAATTATAACTATAATAAAAAGTCAAATGTATTGAAAACCAAAAAGCCCGCTGAAAATTTATCAAGTCAAAAACTCAAAATATATGAGAAAATATCAAGTAAAGCGATTACAAACAAATTTTACATAAATTATGACCATTTAAAACGGAAATCTTAAAAATTCATAATACTAATTTAAGGAAACGAGCATTGAAGATAATAGGATTCAAAATGATATAACAAGATTTCAAGAATAATCTACATAAACATATTAAAGATGAAAAACTCATTACGAAGGATACAATAGTGTGTACATAAAGATAAACATATAGTGTTAATGTGTTAAGACATATTAGTAACTATATATGCTAAATATTATAAAATTTTTATGTGTATACAAATAAGTTGTTCTTCATATTTCCCAATAATTACATATTCCTTGACAATGTACTTGCACTTTTTTTTTTGTGAAAAATCTACCCAATAATAACATTATACCTTCAAAAAAAAATCAGGGTACTATACTGTGAAAAATCTACCCAATTATAATAGTAAAAGTTGTGTAAGATTTAACCCTTCTTCAAAAAATAGAAAAGGGGTTTCAAGTAAGAAGATGCTACTTGATGAAAAAAACAAATTTCTATCAAATTTACCCTTCAAACAATCAAGAACAAAGGCAACCACAAAAAAGCTAAATATAGTTTGACTTGTAGGCAATTTGCAAAATCTTAACCATAGATTAATCATATCATCACAACCTAATCTCACCAACTATCAAGAAATTTGTGTTGTACATAGAAATTGCCTGCAAATATTCAGATGAAATACAGGTTAAATTACTAAAAGATAAACCTTTTTGCAAAAGCTACTTACTTACTAGCTTCAATCTTCAATCTTCTCTTTCAAAGCTTTGGGTTGCTCACAGTGCTTTCCTCCATAGAATGGATCTTTTCTTGAGTCTGTTCATGGCCGATTGATGGAACTACACCATTGACAACCTTCCCCAAATGATCAGTCTTCACAGATCCATTTTCAGAAACAGAATTAGAACTGACCCCTGAACCTTTACCATTAACAACATCTACATCCATTACGACCACTCCATTACCCTTTTCTTGCAGCTGCCTTCCTTTCTCTTTTATCTCCACTGCATTCAAAGCTTCCAATACCTCATTTGAAGCATCGAGTTTGTTGTTCACAACACTAGCATCCACCACCACCGCTGCCGCCACTGGTGTGGCGGCAGTGGCGGCAACACTGTTGCTTGCAGTGACAACTCTCTTATTAGTTTCAACAGCGATTCGTTTTTCCTTTACCATTAGATACACAACATGATCGAGAGCTTCCCTTGCTCTTTTCTTCGTATAGGCTGCCTCCTTCGATCTCCTCTCGGCTTCTGTAGATGCGGCCACCTCCGCCTTATTCATCGACATGGACGCTATCCTCCCTGCAGCATATAGTAGTCTCGCCGCATTGTTATCGATCGCCCTACCACCAGTCCTAGTCCCGTTTTCCAGTCTATTGAGATTCAAAACAAGCGCGTTAGGGTTTAAGCAGGATGAACAAGGGGACGATCCGCGCGAAGATGCGATTGAGCTCACAGGTGGAGAGGAGACGCAGTTAGGGTGAGAGGAAGAGTAGCATTTGTAGCAAACGACGGCGTCAACGGGAGGAGAACGCTCGTAGACGCCGAGACAAGCGGGGCAGAAGTACTGAGTGTGGAGACGGAGGACGCAAGTGGTGCAAAGGCGTCGGAAGTTACCTCGGAGACGGACGTTGTGGAGAAGCTTCCGTTCTTCGACGCCGCAGTGGCCGCAGACGGTGGCTAATGTAGGGTGGTTGGTGGTGGTAGTTGGATTCGAGTCTTGCTTCATCATCACTGGAAGATTCTTGGATCAATCATGAACCCTCAACGTATATTGGAATCTGATTGAAGAATTTTAGGGTTTATGGAACGACATGAGGAGTAAAAGAGAAAAGGGGACAAACGCTAAACGGTTCGATTCCAATGCAGAAACCCGGTCCACAGTTCAGTCATATACGAGCGGCCTGTCGAAAAAACCCGAAACCCGTTCTACCCATCCGACCCGTTCCGAATTCGTGTAGAATGATTCGGGTAGAACGGGTAACACGTATGAACATTCGGGTAATAGGTTAACCCGATAATAATATAGGTCGGGTTTTAGGTATGAATATTTATTTTTGGGTATACCCGAATACCCGAATTCGTTTTTTAAATAATACCAAATATACAATACAGTCACGTACGCACACTTCAAATAAAACAAACCCTTCGTTTCCTTCTTATGAACGACGGCTCGACAATCGACGCAAACTTGCAAAAGGAATACGACGCTGAAGCTGAAGTCCTGAACCGTCATCACAATTTTCAGTTTCTCTCTATTGCACGTAATGGAATTAAAAAAGTACATAACATATTATAATAATTTGTATTGTTATTATAGATGTACTTGTTAATTGTATGGAGTATTTTCCTACCCAATTCTTTATTAAACCAACCAACATGTAAAAAAAAATATCAATAAGTGTCATTTAAGAAATTTTCGGGTATACCCGATAATTACCCGACCCGACCTCAAACCCGAATACCCGAAACCCGAAAACCCGAATTACAATATAGGTCGGGTATCGGGTATTATTTTCTTAAAGAAATACCCGTTCTACCCGACCCGTTCTACCCGAAACCCGAAAATTTTACCCGTTCGACACCCCTAGGTGTAACCCGCTGACACCGACAGGATTATGTCTTATTCAATATTTACATAAAACAATTTGACTTTCTTAAGAAATATTTGAATATCTTGTTGTAGTATTATATAATGTCATAAGGAAAATCAAAGCCGAATCGAATCAAATAAGGATTCATTAGGGTTAATAACTTATAAGATAAACATAGCATTTTGTTCACATTTAGCTTTTTAATTTTTTTTTTCACATATGAATTTGTTTAGATCGTTCAAATTACATAAATCTTTATGATTAGTTGGTATGTAAGTTTTAGCATTTTTAATATGATTAGTTGGTATGTAAGTTTTAGCATTTTTAATGGTAATATATGGAAAAAAAATATAATAAATTAAATGTGAATAAAACCTAAACTATATTATCTTTATAAGTCATTAACCTTAAAAAAAAGTGAACGGAAGTTGTAATTTTAGATATACTACATTGACATTGATTAAATATAAAAACACATGTATATTTTTCTTCAAAAATATATTATATATTATTAGCAAATATAAACACGATAAAAGTTGTTGGCTCCCGATGTATAATTATTATCCAAAGGTCCCAAACATTTTTTTAAGGCTTTGAACTCGAACCAAATGAGGCCAAGGGCGAATCTACATTGATTAAATTTAAAAGGGTGTTCATGGAGATCATTTGTTTTCATAATAGAAGGGAAATGATTCGTACACAATAATTTTTTCCATACACAAAAAAGTGTGTTTTATAGAGTTATACAATACAACATTTTAAAACACAATTTGTTGTGTACGAAGAAAAATTATTATATACGAATCAGCTCCCATAATAAAAGTATAATATAATGTTAATTTACATATAGAATAAGCTTCTATAACTAAACCAATGTTTTAAAAACCGGTTTTTTAGTTGAACCGGTATGGTGACCGGTTCGCGGTTCAACCGGTTTAACCGGTTCGACCGCCGGGTGAACCGGTTTCTATATTTTTCATGTTTTTAAATTTTTTTCTATTTTCCTACACATACATATATATATAAATCATGAATTTGATGTTTAAAAGTTCAAACACTAAAAATACACATAAAAATAAATTGTAGATGAATTCAAATACACTAAAATAACACATAACCATAAATTTTAGTGTTTTACATTAATCCATATACGTTAAAAAGAAAAATAAAGTATAATACCGAAACAAAATATAGTTTTATATGAATATAAACACATAAAAAAACTTTATAATATTTGTCATATGTTTTTATTTAGAGGAAGCTAAATAGATTTGAAAAAAATCACCAAAGTTTATTATGTAAATGGTTCTTTTTCATTGTTTTTATTCGGTTTAATCGGTTTAACCGGTTCAACCGGTTTATTTTGACGGGTTTTTCTAAAAAACGGCCGGTTCAGTCTGGTTCAGAAATCAATGTAAAACCGGTGATAGTTGAACCGGTCCCTCCTCCGGCTCCCAGTCCAACCGGTTCGACCGGCCGGTTCAAACCGGTTTTTAAAACACTGAACTAAACACATAAAATGGACACCGTCACCACTTACCAATATCTCTATGAATATATGGTCTCACACCTCAATTAATGATGAGCTTGATTTTCGCAAATAACTCTACACTATTTTCCTATCTAATTCCAATCACCATAACTTAATAATTCATATATGGATGCAATAATTAATTCATGGCTCAACAGGAAAAAAAAAGTCATAGGCAAATGGATGATCATTTTTAAATTTTATTTATTTTAGATGATATTTTTTTAAATTGTGTTTGATTTTTGCTACTAAAATTATATTTATGTTAGATGGTATTTTTTTAACTTATGTTTGATATTTGGTATTTAAATTATAATTGATTGAGATGATATTATTGACAATCCGACCCGATAACAAAACATATTCGACTATTTTATTTATCCTCTAATTGAATTGGACACCCGTAAGTTTGAATCCTAGATTCGTCATTGAATGAGGCCCATTTTTTAGATAAAGATACTAAATATTTTAATCTAGACATGCACATTAGCGGTTAGACCAAAGTGGAGTACAAATAGTAAACAAGATATTGAACCAAAAAAATGTCATTCTGACTTCAAATAAAAAGGTTATGGTAGGATAAAGAAGAGGGGTAGATCATGCACAATGTTGAAACTAGAAAACAATTCAACTTTGATGCCCTGTGTTTCGAGGTTTGTACCTCAATCAATATGTAACCAAATAATGTGTTTCTATTGTGTAAAATGAAATACAAACAATAAACTACATGAAAAAAATTCACGACTTTAAGTATAGTAACATTTTATCTCACGCATCACGTATCTCTTCACCAACGTGTCACATACTCAAAGTATATTACTCTCCCAGCATTAGAGTATCCCAACAACTTACCAAAAACCATTCTCGTTGGCAATGTGTCGTGTAGCACCCTCCTTGCCCCATCAACAAGTTACATTTCCCGCAATAATATTTGTTATGAAAAACAGGTGTCATAATAAGGCCGCTCTTCGTGATCAAAATTGGAATATTGCCATGAATATTAAGTATAATGCAATACTTAAACACATACTTGGGACTTGGTGTCGCGTCCTTCTGACTTAAATATTATTTGTTGCCATTGGATATTTTGACATAAGTTTCATTCAAACGACGCCCTAGAAAGATATAAAGCACGAGTAGTTGGAAATGAAAATTCACAAATAATTTGAATTGGTTCTACTGAAACCTTTATCCCTTTGGTTAAACCTACCACAATCCACACAGTCTTTAGTCTTGCAGTAGGTCACAATTGGCATATCCATCATCTAGATGTAAAAAACGCCTTCCTTCATGGCGATATTCAAGAGATCATCTACATGCACCAATCACCTAGATTTTTTAATCCCTACTACCCAGATCATGTGTGTAAGATTTGCAAAGTTCTTTACAGTTTAAAACAAGCCCCATGGGCATGGTACCAACAATTTTATAGGCATCTTCTACATCTTGGTTTTACCTGTAGCAAAAGTGACAACTCTTTCTTTATTTGTCGACGTGGTCACAAGTTTGCTTACATACATCTTTACGTTGATGACATCGTTCTCACCACCTCTACCAATAGTCTGGCCCTATGTCTTGCTTTTTGGGCATCTCAGTCAAATGCACCAAAAACAAGATGTTTCTTCCTCAATGCAAATATATGGAGGAAATTCTACATCGAGCCAACATGTCTACTTATAAGCCAGTTGTCACCCCGTTAAGACTCCAAATTAAGCACCACTATCGGCTCTCCTTTAACCGACCCTACAAACTAATCTATCGAAGCCTAGTTGGGGATCTTCAGTACCTAATGTTTACAAGGTCGAACATTGCTTATGTTTACAACAAATATGTATCTTCATACTGTTGGAAATAGGTGTCCAATGTCACAACTAATTGGTATAACTTTGAGAATAATAACAAAGTCTTTTTGGGGTTTCCCTTAAGAGCTAAAATAGCTAGAAATGATTTAAAAGAGTGATATAATTAGTTAATTGATTTATTACAGGTTAATAAATTAATTAGAAAATAATTAGAAACTAATTAAAACTAATTAGAATTGATTAGAACTAATTTGGAATTAAGTAGAATTAATCTGAATGTATAGGGATTGAATATTAATTGTTCAATAGTTGAGCAATGGGAACATTTTGGACCCCCATGTAGGTGGATGGTTTTGGAGAGCTTCCAGAAGGCTTCTGGAATTATCTATAGTAACTGATAAAGTAAAGATTTAAATCATGATTAAATATAATTATTTAATTTATTCAAATCAGAGTTTATCTGCTAACCCCACAACTATATAAATACCCCTCTAGACCTTCAGAATTAGATTGATTCAACCTCCTGAAAGGCTGAGAAAATCAGTTCTCATACACTCACTCTCCATCCTTAATTATAGGGTTTAGACTTTTGAGTATGAACCATTAGAGACATTCCTATTTTGGGTGCTAGATCTTCCAAGAGCAACAAGGAGTTCGAGATCCACATTGGAATCACAAGTATATACGGTTATACTTGAAAGGTTGGTAATCGTTTCTCTTTGATTAAATTTATATTCATGTTTTGAAAGTATGTTGCTATAATAGTAAAACCTGGATCTAGGGTGTATGTACACATAGGATTATA